TCCCAACAATAGTCTCCATAATACATAAGTACAAAATAGAGTTACGACTCAATTAAATAACTAGGTGCTATGACCGTATATGCCCACCAAATACTCGAGACGTACTCTGATAGAAGATCGAATCTGGAAATCTTGAAACCTTGCGACGAGCTCCTCTGATGGAACCTAAGAACCTGAGCACGAAAACACATTGCATACGCTGAGCTCACAAGCTCAGTGCCACACAAATAATCCTACTATACTACATGTATTCAACACATGAGCATGCTATAAGTATGGTTTAGGGTTCATGTACTCCACTCCTATGGTATCGATACTTTAGGAAACATAGGAATAAATTGGAGGATTTTAGACGATTGGAGTACCGATACTTGTATGCAAATGTTCATAACCATACTTGTAGCATGCTCATGTGTTGAATGCATGAAGTATAATAGGGTTATTTGTGTACTAAGCTTGTGAGCTCAATGTATGGAATGTGTTTCCGTGCGCAGGTTCTTAGGTGGCATCAGAGGAGCTCGTCACCAGGTTTCAAGATTATATTGTTTTAATGTTCGAACAAAATATAAACACTCGAAATATATTACGTTTACAAAATATAAGTAATTAAAATATGGGGAGCTCCCAACAATAGTCTCCATAATACATAAGTACAAAATAGAGTTACGACTGAATTAAATAACTAGGGGCTATGACAGTACATGCCCACCAAATACTCGAGACGTACTCTGATGGAAGATTGAATCTGTAAATCTTGAAACCTGGCGACAAGATCCTTTAATGGCACCTAAGAACATGTGCACGAAAACACATTTCATACGCTGAGCTCACAAGCTCAGTGCCACACAAATAACCATACTATACTACATTCATTCAACATATGGGCATGCTACAAGTACAATTTTTAAAACAACCTAATGTTTTCAAAGAAAAATGGTTAGCCACTTAGTGGTTCCTTGTGACATTCTAATTATCCGGACCTCGGATCAAATCAAATTAGAGTGTTACACATTTAGATAAGTTGGTTAGTGCTTGAATTATAATTTTTAAATAGATACAAGCACAATTATAATTATAATATACACATCCAAGAACCACAAGTATAAAGATAATCAAAATCAATATAATAAATACAATAAGATAAGAACTAATTTAAATGCTTCTTCTCCTTATGTGAAAACCATTAATGATGACCAACCTATACCTAATCCCCATGTTATCGGTAAGAACGAACGCTATATTTTATATTAAACATGTGAATTTTAAAAAAGTTAAATTAAAATTTTAAGATATAAAATTATAAAACTTCAAAATATAAAATTATATCATTAATAAAAATTCCTTTTATTTTATAAAATTTTAAAATTTTCAAAAGAACAATCGTTCCTCAAATTTGATAATTAGGGACTGTTTGTTTACTTCAGAATGATTAAGCGCTGAATGATTCAGAGACTCTGAATGATTTGACTCTGAATGTAACATGTTGTTTGATAACTGGCTTTGAATGATTCAGAATGTACTTCTGTGCTGACTGATTCAACACAACACTGAATCATTTAGAAGTGCGAAACAAACGCGCTGAATGCTGAACGGTTCAGCATTCAGCGCTGAATGGTTCCATTAAGAGACAAACAACAACCCCTTAGTCTTAGAAATTTCAAAATCTCCATATACGAGGAATATTTCTTTATAATTAATATTTTTTTCATGCTTAAAGCTGATATAATTATTGAATTGTAATTTTTTGACAAAGAATTGTAATTTTTTAAATGAATATAAATATAATTACAATCATAATTTATACATCCAAAACTTACAAGTATAAAGATAATCCGAATCAACAAAACAACTGTAATTAAATGAAAATTAAATTAGATATTTTTTCTTATGTTGAAGCCATTAATGATAGCCAACCTATGCTTTAAACCACAAGCTACAATAAATTTGAGAATTCAATGGGTTTAATTAATGATTCAGTGGCGGCCGTCTTTCGGGTTGGGCCCGGAATTATGTTTCGACTTAAATAAAACGTTAGAGTCTCCACCGATCATTTAAATAAAGGTTGATCGGATACCTTAATTTACCATCTTATATGATTTGTGTTTTACCAGAAATATGTCAGATTCGGGAGTCGGTTACAGTCAAGAAAAGATTAACACCATTGAAATGCCCTTTCGGTACCATTTTAATTTATCAGTTGTCTTAATTGCGAAAATTTAAATTTAAAGACTCGATTCGAATTACTTACCTTTGATTGATTGTAATTACCTCTAAAAAGTTGAAAACATTAGATCATAAAATAAAAGAAATATCAAATAAAAATTAAATCTAAAAAAATAAATCAAAGAAGGAAATATTAAATTTTAAAAAATGTTATATAAAAACTTTAAAAGAAAAAATAAAATAAGTGAAGAAAATATTAAATTTCAGAAAAAAAATAATAAAATATAAAAAATGTTAAAAGAGAAAATAAAAATAAAACAAAATAAAAAAAGAAGTGGTAAAATAAAGATAAAACAAAATAAAATAAAAAAAAAGTGTTAAATTTTAAAAAAAAATACAAGGAAAGAAAAAAATAGAAGGTAAAATAGAAGGTATAATAAAATAAAATAAAATAAAAGATAAAATAATAAATAATAGTAGTAAAGATAAAAAATGGTTTTTAAAAGTTGTTTTTAAAATAAAAGATAAAAATTAACTAAAAGAAAATAAATAAATAAATAATCTAAAGAGATTGAGATAAAGAGAAACTTATAGTGAAAGCAACCTCAGACTTCAATTTTGTCTCAAATTCCTCTGATCATCGAAGCTGATTTTTACTTCAAGATTCACGTCGGTTACTACAAGAACAATTCCTTGCTGTTGACTCGGATTATGTTGTTTCAACAATAACTGATTTCGATCTTTTTTTCCTCTTAGCTAACAATTTGGCTAAGTGTATTCTTGGGGAGTCGAATGTGCTTCAATAAGCCAATCCTTCTTACAATTCTCACGTTTGGAGTCTTCGCTTTAGCCTTCGATTTAAAAGAAAATTAGCTAAGCACGTCCATAGTCATACTTAGTATTTGTTAAAGACGAAAATTAAAAGAAAATAAAGGAGTATGCAAAAATAGAGAGAAAGCTATAGAGAAAAAGAAAATTTTATTCTCAGATGTGTGTGTCTCTTCTAGGCTTACCCTGAGATAAGGTATTTATAGTTTTTAAATTCCTAAAAACAAGCTAAAGATAATTCCTAAAATAATATCGTTTATCTGAATTAAAACACTTAAAATTATTTAAATTAAAATACCTAAAAAAAAGATAAAATAAAATAATATTTAAAATAATATCATAAATCCTAATTGAAATACTAACATCTATTTAAACTAAAATACAAAGATAAAATATAATATTAATATATATATATATTAAATAAGTCCCGGACGAAAATGGGTGTCTACATATTCTTTGATATTTGCTAAAAATATTTAATTTATTAATTTAGTTAGATTATATATAAAATTAACATTTATCAATTAATTTGATCAATATTAGAATTTTTCCTTAACAAGCAAATTTGATGGTTGGTTCTATAAATTTTAAAATCTATAATTTGTAAGGGTATACTGATAGTTTAGTACTTAAACTATTAGTTTTAATCCGTTTTAGTACTTAAACTTTTAAAATTTTCAAAATCGTACCTGAATTTTAGTTTTTATTTCCTTATAGTATCCCGTTCAAAATTTAACGTTAATTTTTTGAAACAAATTTGAAAGTTTAGGTACTAAATTAGACTAAAATCGATAGTTTAGGTACTAAACGCGTTAAATTTAAAATGAAACAAAAATTAAACTTTAGTTATGATTTTAAAAAAAATGAAAATTTAGGTACTAAAACAAACCAAAACTGATAGTTTAGATACTAAATGAGTAGCTTATCCATTTTTTTCAAAGGGAATACAAGTACAGTTACAATCATAATCTACATATTCAAGAACTACAAGTTAAATTAAATGCTTGGCTTTCCTTATGTAAAAACCATTAATGGTAGCCAAGGTATACTAATTTATTGACGACACCCTAATATTTTTAGGGTTAATATTTAATACTATGGTTTAACTTTTCACATATCATCAATTTATTGTTGAATTACTAGTTATTTGATCTTAATATTTACTGATAATAACTCCATGCAACTGAACTGAATGCTTGTGATACTCAATCAAACAACCGTCAGTAGACATGATTAAGATATGATTTTATTATATCCTAGTCAGCAAGTTAATGTCCAACTCAGACAACCGTCAAATTTTTAATGGAAAATGATGAATTTGGAACATATGAATAATTGAATGACTATTTTGTTACTTTTAATAGTCGGGATTTAACAAAATAATATCTTGTAATCGAGAGATCATTTCATAATTGAGGGACTTAATAAGACAGCACCATATAGTCGGGGACCATTTGAATACTTTACCCTTAAAATTTACTATAAACCTACTAAATTACTAGTGATGAATAAAAAAAAACTATTGAGCATGTTGGATGATACTCCATGTGCTACTTTCTTAATGCAACTGCAATCTCCCCTACCCTACTGAAACCTACTTTGCGCGACGGAATAGGGCTCCGGAATAGCAATGGCCCAAAAAAATTAGATTTATTATAATAAAAATCTCTTTTTTTTGGGTATAACTCCACTTTACGAGAAATGAGCTCATCTTCATGATCTTCCTATCCCACACCGTTAGAATTTGAGTTAGTAATATCACCAATCTCCCTATATATACTGCATTCAAGCTTTGCAATTTGCACAGTGCCTCTTTTTAAGAATTTGCACATAGCCTCAACGTCCTAACCCCGACCCTGACCTACTAAATGCCCAACACCCATTTTCATGACAAGTTGTTAGAACATGTTTCAAACCTGTCGAAATCCCATCTTCCACACTTGAAAAAAAAGATCCAAAATTTTACTATAAATAGAGCCAACAAGTTTCATATGAACCAAACCAGTACTTTAAATTTCTTTCTCTTTTCTTTTTCAATGGAGTTTTTCTCAACATGTCTGATATTTCTTTGTTGCATGATAATGTTCTTACTTTTGAAATTATTTTCGAAAACGAGAACCCAAAGCTGTTACATTGTAGCTTACGAGTGTTATAAAGCTCCAGACGACATGAAGCTCGACACCGAAACGTGTGGTGAACTCATTTTGAGGAACAAAAATCTGGGTATGGAACAGTACAGGTTTCTGCTCCAAGCAATGGTGAACGCGGGCATCGGGGAGGAAACTTACGGCCCAAGAAATGTCATCGCGGGCTCCGAAGAATCCCCGAACCTTGAGGAATCGATTTTGGAGATCAACGATATCGTCTTCGGTACCCTCGACAACCTCTTCGCTAAAACCGGTGTTTCCCCATCAGAAATTGATGTCCTCATCGTCACTATCTCGATGATTACTTCGGTGCCGTCGATACCGGCTCGAGTGATTAATAGGTACAAGATGAGGGACGATGTTAAGGTTTTTAATCTTACCGGGATGGGTTGTAGCGCAAGTGTTGTTGCAATTGATCTTGTTAATAATCTGTTTCGGACATATAAGAACTCGAACTCCATCGTTGTGAGCTCGGAATCGCTGAGTCCGAATTGGTATCGAGGCAAAGAGAGGTCCATGATGCTTCCCAACATCCTTTTCCGTGTAGGAGGTTGTTCATTGCTGTTGACGAACAAAAGCTCACTTAAACACCGAGCCATTTTGAGGCTTAACCACTCAGTTCGAACCCACGCCGGCTCGAACGACGAAGCATACGGCAGCTGCACCAGGATCGAAGACGAACACGGCAACTGCGGTTTCTTCCTAACCAAAAATCTCCCGAAAGCGGCCGCTAAAGCTGTGGCGATGAACCTTGGAGTCTTGGTACCCAAAATGTTACCATTGAGGGAACTCGTCCGGTACTCATTGGTGACCTATTGGAGAAACAAGAGCAAAACATCAACCTCGGAACCCAATCTGAACCTCAAGTCCGGCATAGAACATTTCTGCATTCATCCGGGAGGAAGGGCGGTGATCGACGGCATGGGAAGAAGCTGTTGGAAATAAAACACTCACACAAACAACTTTTATTGAAACTCAAAGAAATATTACAAGAGTACTCTCACTCAAAAACAAGAACTACAACTCACTCTTATAAGACTTTGCTTCTTCACTCACTTAGAAGCTCTTAATTTTTCTTGATGCTTAAAACTAAAATGAGAAGGGGTATTTATACTACTCAAGAACAATCCTACACCACACAAATAAACTAATTTAAACCATTACAAATTCAACAAATATCTAACTCTCACCTAACTAAATTGATGTAAGCAATGACATCATTAATTAAATGATGTAAGCAATGACATCTTTAATTAAATGATGTAAGTAATGACATCAATTTAGTTTGGGTTTGGGTTTAGGCTCCCATAATGGATCAAGTTTATGATCCAACACCCTCCCTTAAACTTGATCTCGTGACCCCTAGTAGGTTCCTTAATCTTAAGAAGTCTTCGCTGGTCAGTGGCTTGGTAAAAATATCAGCAACTTGATCTTGTGACTTCACATATTCAACTTCCACATCTTTTCTTGCAACACACTCCCTTATATAGTGGTAGCGAATATCAATGTGCTTGCTTCGATCATGGAATACTGGATTCTTCGCTAAGGCAATGGCTGACTTGTTGTCGACACAAACCTTGGTAGGCTCTTCTTGTATCAAACCAATCTCCTTCAATAGATTTCTAAGCCAAATTGCATGACAAACACATGAGGTAGCAGCAACATATTCCGCTTCACAAGTGGACAATGTGACAATCGGTTGTTTCTTTGACATCCATGTGAATGCAATATCTCCCATGAAAAATACGAATCCAGTAGTGCTCCTTCGATTATCTATGTCTCCACCCCAATCACTATCGCTATATCCAACAAGCTTGTAATCATTAGAAACTGAATAGAACAAGCCAAAGTCAATTGTACCTTTCAGATAGCGAAGAATTCTCTTTGCAGCTTTAAAATGGATGGTTGTTGGGGATTCCATGTAGCGACTAACCAATCCAACTGCGTGAAGAATATCGGGTCTCGTGCAAGTTAGATAGCGTAGACTTCCTACCAAACTTTTGAAGAATGTTGGATCTACACTTTCGCCTTCTTCATGTTTGGTCATCTTGATCCCGTATTCTGCCGGTGCTTATTGGCTTACAGTTCTCCATCTTGAACTTCTTCAGTATCTCCTTTGCATAGCTTTCCTGTGAAATGAAAATTCCATCATTTTGTTGCTTAACTTCAATGCCAAGGTAGTACGCCATGAGCCCCATGTCTGTCATCTCGAATTCTTTCATCATCACATCCTTGAATTCATTAAACATGCTTGGGTTGCTTCCAGTGAAGATCAAATCGTCCACGTAGAGGCACACGATCAAAATATCTTCATCTTTGATCTTGATATATAGAGCATGCTCGTAGGGACATTTGTTGAAACCATTCTCTTGGAAGTACTTGTCGATTCGGCTATTCCATGCCCTTGGTGCTTGTTTTAGCCCGTAAAGAGCCTTCTTCAACTTCAACACCTTGTCTTCATGCCCTTTGACTTCATAGCCTGATGGTTGCTGAATGTAAAGTTCCTCTTCAAGAACTCCATTTAGGAAGGCGGACTTTACATCCATCTGTTGTATCTTCCACTTGTTTTGAGCTGCCAAAGAAATGATTAGTCTGATAGTCTCCAATCGAGCAACAGGAGCAAATACCTCATCATAGTCAATTCCAGCCTTTTGACTATAGCCTTTAGCAACTAGCCTCGCCTTGTGCCTTTCAATCTCTCCTTTGGCATTTTGCTTTGTTTTGTACACCCATTTGACACCTATCGCCTTATGTCCCTTGGGAAGTGAGGTAAGTTTCCATGTGTCATTCTTCTCGATGGCCTTGATTTCTTCGTCCATCGCATCTCTCCATTTCTTTTCTTGTACCGCTTCTTGAAAGCTCACTGGTTCACAATCGGCAAACAGACAAAATAATGTAAGATTATCTTGTCGTTCAGTTACCTCATAGAGATCTCTAAGGCTTCTTGTGCGTTGCACAACTCTTTCACTTTGACTCCCACTTGATGATGATGAAGGTGATGAGTCTCCTTGAGTGGTTGATGTTGGTGAAGTGGGTGGAGTTGCAAGCTCTTGTTGAGATTCATCTAGTTGCTCCCTTATTGTCTGCTCATCTTCTTCAAACTGAGGAAAGAAATTGAAGTCTGTATGAGAGTTAAAATCCCATTCTCCTTCTTCGTTGAAGATCACATCTCGACTAATCACAAACTTCTTATTGTCTGGATTGTACAACTTGTAGCCCTTCGAATTAGCATCATAGCCGATGAAGATAAAACTCTCGCTTTTATCATCAAGCTTCGTTCTTCTCTCGTCTGGTACGTGAACATGGGCTATACTTCCAAAGGTTCTCAAGTGGGAAATGCCAGGCTTTCTTCCACTCCATGCCTCTTGCGGTGTCTTTCCCCATACACTTCTTGTTGGAGATCGATTTGACAAGTAGACTGCACACGATACTGCTTCCGCCCAAAATTCTTTGGGTAGTTTCTTGCTTTTGAGCATGCTTCGTGCCATGTCGAGGATTGTTCTATTCTTTCTTTCTGCCACACCATTTTGCTGGGGGGATCTAGGAACTGTCATTGGTCGACGAATTCCATTTGCTTCACAGAACTCTTGAAACTCCTGGAAGTAAATTCTCCACCTCGATCGGATCTCATGGCTTTGATCTTTCTACCGCTTTCTCTCTCCACTGCTGCTTTGAACTTCTTGAAGACTTCAAAAACTTCTGACTTCTGTTTCAAGAAATATACCCAGGTTTTTCTTGAAAAATCATCAATGAAGAGAAGAAAATAGTTATTGTTACCGAGAGAGCTTGGCTTGATCGGTCCACACACATCGGTATGGATGAGCTCAAGTGGCTTCTTAGCTCTTGTCTCTGACTCCTTTGGAAAGCTTTTCCTGAATTGTTTCCCGACTAGACACCCTTCACAGAGTTGGTCAGGATGGTTGATGTGAGGTAGTCCTTTCACCATCTCCTTCTTAGATAATAGCTCTAGACCTCCAAAATTGAGATGCCCAAATCGAAGATGCCAAAGCCATGATGCATCTTTGTAGCAAGCTTTCAGGCACTTGCAACATCATTTTGTATGTTGATCAAGAACATTCTATTCTTTGACATCGGCACTTTAGCAATGAAGTTATTCTTATCATCTTTTATAGAAAGATTATAATTATTCATATGAATATCATAACCTTTCTCTACTAGTTGCCCTAAACTTAAAATGTTACTTTTCATATTGGGCACATAGTAGACATTTGAAATAAATTGATGTCTCCCATCTTTCAAACGGATAAGAATGTTACCTCTCCCTTTCACTGCTATTGTGGAATCATCTCCAAACGAAACATTTCCACTTACTGACTCGTCTAGCTCCACAAACATGTCTTTCCTTCCACACATGTGATTGCTTGCACCACTGTCAAGATACCAGGAATTTGCTTGGCCACCATCAGTTTCCTTTCGTGCTAGAAGAAGAGTTTCTTTGCCATCTGTCTTTTCCTCCACGTAATTGGCCTTCTCCTCAAATTTGTTGTTGGGAGCTCTACATTCTGAAGCATAATGCCCAAATTTTTGACAATTATAACATCGAATTTGAGATTTGTCATACTTTGAGTTTGGATTAATTCTTCCACGGCCTCGTTTTGAGCTTTCTCCTTTCTCATAGTTGTTGTTGGAATTGTTATTGTTGTAATTCCAGCCTCGTCCACGACCTCGACTTCCACCTCGTCCATGGCCTCTACCTCTGCCTTGGCCACGTTGGTTTCTATCATTGCGTTGGCTCTCATGCATATCCTTGAGTTGCAGCTTGAGGAGTTGCTCAGTAAACTCATGCTTCTTTTTATGCTTCTCTTCGTATGCTTGCAATGATCCTTGGAGCTGTTCGATCTTCATTTCTTCCAAGTCTTTAGTTTCTTCAATCGTCACGACGATGTGCTCAAATTTGGGATCCAACGAACGGAGTATCTTCTCTATTATCCTCACATCGTCTAACTTTTCACCATTTCTTTTTAATTGATTAGAAACAGCTACTACTCTTGAGAAATAATCTGAAATAGACTCAGATGCTTTCATGTTTAAGGATTCGAATTCACCTCTTAATGTTTGGAGACGAACCTTCTTCACTTGCTCGGATCCTTTATAAGAGGTTTGCAGCTTCTCCCACGCTTCCTTGCTAGAGCTTGCACTTGAAATCTTTTCAAAACCATCATCATCTAATGCTTGATAGATGAGGTAGAGAGCCTTCTTGTCTCTCTTCTTGAATCCTTCAAAGTTGTCTTTTGATCTGGTGTAAGAGTAGCAAAAACATCATCATCCGCAGGCTCATTATAGCCTTTCTCTATGATATCCCACACATCTTGTGATCCAAGAAGTGCCTTCATTTTGATACTCCAATTGTCGTAGTTGTTGTTGTTGAGTGTCGGAACTTGGAATGGTGCCATACCATTTGCCATATCTCTCAATATAATGAGATTTTGTAAAATCCGATTGCACGGATGAATCCGGAACGATGAAAAAAAAACTTTGGAGGGACTTGGACAACTCGGTCAAGGGCTCCAACTCGGCTGAATCGGCTCAATTCAGTGAGTCAACTCGATTTTCTGGCAGCAGTCTTCCGGCGGTGCGTGGCGGTGCGTCAGAACTCAGATTGAGAAAATTCTGGCGGCGGCGTATTCCTCTCGTCGAGACCTTCGATCTTTCCAACTCTCTCTGATGCCACTTTGTTGGAAATAAAACACTCACACAAACAACTTTTATTGAAACTCAAAGAAATATTACAAGAGTACTCTCACTCAAAAACAAGAACTACAACTCACTCTTATAAGACTTTGCTTCTTCACTCACTTAGAAGCTCTTAATTTTTCTTGATGCTTAAAACTAAAATGAGAAGGGGTATTTATACTACTCAAGAACAATCCTACACCACACAAATAAACTAATTTAAACCATTACAAATTCAACAAATATCTAACTCTCACCTAACTAAATTGATGTAAGCAATGACATCATTAATTAAATGATGTAAGCAATGACATCTTTAATTAAATGATGTAAGTAATGACATCAATTTAGTTTGGGTTTGGGTTTAGGCTCCCATAATGGATCAAGTTTATGATCCAACAGAAGCTTAGGGCTAAACGAATACGACCTCGAGCCGACTCGAATGGCGCTCCATCGATTCGGCAACACATCGGCTGCTGGATTATGGTACGTTTTGAGCTACATGGAAGCTAAGAAGAGGCTGAAGAAAGGTGACAGGATATTGATGATAAGCCTTGGAGCTGGTTTCAAGTGCAATAACTGCGTGTGGGAAGTGATGAAGAAGATGGATAATGTCAACGTGTGGGAAGATTGCATTGGTAAATACCCAGTGAAATGTACTGCCAACACGTCCTTCTTGGAAAAATACAGTTGGGTCAATGAATCCAGCAAATGAAATCTCTAAGGTGAAGAGATTATAAATTGCAGGGATAATTCCGGTGCGGCAGACTAAAAAAATGACTAAAATAAGGTGTTATCAGTTTTGTTATTGTGTTAAATAATAAAATCGATAAAAATTATCAGAAATATTATTAGGCGCTACCGGTTTTGTTATTATTGAGTGTTTTTTACTGGATTTAAAAAAAAAATACCGGAAACATTATTAGGCTTAAAAAATGACCGGATTAACATAATATTTTAGGTAATTATAGGAAAAATTTAGGTAATTTTTACCGATTTTATTATTTAAACGATAACAAAACCGATAACGCCTTATTTTAACCGTTTTTAAGCTTGCTGTAGAACTTCCCATAAATTGCGCTTCCTGGTAAGTTTATTGTATTGGTCTTTTTCTTTAGTGGTATTTGATTCATTTTGTGTATTGTATCATACCCCTAATGTTGAAAGGGTCAAAGATAAAAGGGGAACCAAAGTATATTTGTATCATTGTATTAATTTAAAATAATTATGATTACAATATAATATTTTTTTCATAATCTTTTCTAATCATCGATAATGCACATCTACCCTGCAAATAAAGTTAGGGATGACAATTAACTCGAAATCGATGATTTTCGACCAGATCTAATAAGGTCGGATTTTAAAAAAAAATTGAGTTTAGGTCGAATCGAGTCGATTTTTTAAGGGAGTGAGGTCAGATCGGGTGGAGGGCAAAAAACTCCGATCTGACCCAGGGATAATAATGTAATTTCCTTAAAAATTATTATTTTCTTAATTAAGTCATTATTTTTATATCGGATCGGGTCAAATTTATACTCTAAAATTTCTAGTCGAATCAAATTCAGATAGAGAATATATATTTTTTGGGTTCGGATGGAGGATACATATTTTTTGGATAGGGTCGGGTTGACAAAAACCCAACCCGACCCGTTGACATCTCTAGATGCAACTACTCAAACTTAAAATTTCTAAAGAAAACAATACTCTCTTTTACCACTTACTCGTATTGATGATGAGTTATTCCATTTTACATATATAAAAAATTTGATTAAAGTACACAAATGATCATGACTTTATAATGTTGTTTTATTAAGTTCATCGATTATTAAAAGTTACGAAAGAATCCCCCAACTATAGAATTGTTTGGTGAATACATTTAGTGTAAAACAAGACAATGGAAAAGACACGTAAACTACGACAAAATTAGGCTAATACTATTGGCATCAAAATTATTTGAGTTTATAGGACAGATTAAAATTTAATTTGGAATCTATATCGAATGCTCTAATGTTTATAAAACTCGTCATTTTCTCGTGATGAGTTTTATGAGATATTAATTTTTTATTATTAGTCCTGGCCATGTAGGTCTCATAAGCTATATTATTTTAATATATATTGTAGAACTCATCACGATCACATGATAAGTTTTTCAAGATAAATTAAAAAATATATTTTTTAAAAAATATTATTTTATAATTTTTGAAAAAAATTAACTTTTTTACGGTTCATGTCTTCTTGACGAGTTCCTCGATTTTTTTAATTTTAAAGATAAAAATATTTTTTTTAATTTATTAAGTGGAACTCGTCACGATCTCTTGACGGATTTCAAAAAATTTATTAAAATAATAGGTAAACTACTCAAACGACCACATAGTTATAGAGGTAATATCGATATGACCACTATACTTTTAATTTTGTCAATATAACCACATAACTATTTAAGTGGTATCAATCAAGCCACTTGCGGTCAAAACCTAATCGAGAAATGATGTGACAATTAATAAAAATTTATATAATTGCACAATTGATCCATATTATTTATACTTTTATTAGTATAATTCAATAAATTAATCATTCAATTAGGTGGTGATACATGTTTTATTGAAATAAATTATTATTGTTTATAAATTATGATTTCATTTATTCTGGTTTTAAGGGAACACACTACACGTCTGTTTCAATCTTCTGAACCTAGTATCTTGAACGTTTCCTCTGAACTATAAGCTTCTTGTCTGTTACCTGAAGAAATATCAGTGGAACCCCAGTTCATCTCGAAAACTTGTAGGTGTCTGAATCAATAAGAAAAAATTTATGCTTGTCGTTTTTCTGCTTGTCCTTCAGCATCATTTGGTAGTTCTGTATTACTGAGCTTCCCAAAGCTCACTTTTTTTCTTACCATTTCAGGTTAACGAGTAGAAAATGTACAGTTATCGACATCAACATTGGGAGTTATTTCGGCGTTGTTGGCGAGCACGATACCGGTATAATTAGGGGGTATGTAGGTCACATTTGATATTTATATTGAGTCTGGAACTTGTAATAATTCTATTTGTAATATATGAATGATTTTCTGAACTTGTATTTTAATTATAAATTATTTTATGATTTTACATATTTTAACAAAAATTTTAATTTTTCCTGGATTTTTACTGTGGTTCAGTCCGGTGCCTAATGTAATACATCGGATTGGATCGAGTCATCCATATTGGATTTTTAAGGAAGAAGATGCCATACAAATCTCTCTCTCTTTGGGGTAGTTTCAACTCATAGTGTCAATTTATTCCTCATCATCGTTGTTGACGACCACACTAAGTATAAGTTGGGTCTATTTTTTTATGTTTAAAAAGCGATGCCAAACTATTTATAAAACAATTTTTCTTGTTGAAATTTCTTCATACACTCATTTGAGATTTTTATCGGCTAAATTTATTAATTTATGTTTATATTAAGCTTTATATAGTATTAGTAAATTTTACATATAGTTAAGAAAATAAGATAAAAAAATTCAGTGAACATAACGAGCAACAAGGTGAGCAACGAGCTTAACAAGCAATGCGCTTAAATAACGAGTTGAGCAACAAGTTTTTCTTTTTAAAGAACATGAGTTGAGCAAAATTTTAATAAACTTAACGAGGAACAAATTGAGTTGAGCAACAAAATTTTATAACGAGCACGAATCGAATACCGCCTAACTTGTTATCGATTCACTTGATGAGGTCGAGAGATACGTAATACACGATCTTCATTTGGTCTATTTTTTCAACCCCCAAACAGTTTTACTGGAGCTAATTTTAAAGCCTGAATTCTTCTTAGGGTAAAGTATAAAAATGGTCAACGACTATAAGATGTTGTTATGTTGACTCTTCGATTATTAAAAGTTATAAAATAATTAACTTGACTATTCATATAAACCAAACTCGTCAATTTTCTTTAAAATTGACAGTTGTCTGAGCATGACATTAACATATTGACTGAGATACGATAAAATCTGATCACTAAACTATGAGTTTTATTTTGTGGATCGACTCTCTATCTACATTATGTCGTCGAGCCAATGCTTGAAATATTATGTCGTCGAGTCAGTGCTTGAAAACAATAACGATACCGGTAGATATCATTAAAATATGACTTTATTATATCACAATTAGCAAGTTGATCATTTTTTTAACAAAAAATAATGAGTTTAGAACATATAAATAGTCAGACGGTCATGTTGTAACTTTTAATAGTCGGAGACTTAACAAAACAACGCCATATAGTCGGGAAATCATTCTATAATTTTTAATAGTTGAGAACTCAACAAACCAATACTTTATAGTTAGAGGACTATTTTATAAATTTTAATAGTCGAAATACTCAACAAAGTGTTCTATAGATAATCGTCTCTTTTCAGCCCCTCCAAGGTCCGGTCTCTCTTGATCTTGGCAAACTGCCATGTTAGAATCCGACAATGAGTAGAATCCGACAATGAGTAGAATCCGACGTCACCGGCAGGCTTTCTCGAGCTCATCTGAGACCGCTTGCAATGTGCAATGGCTCCTTGAATCGGGTTCCGACTCTCGATCTTTATTTTCACACTGCTGCTTCTGTTAAGAAACTGCAGGTACCGGAAACCGATTGAATTCGAAGATGAAGACGACGAAGAAGTTGAAGACTCGTTCGTCGAAGAATGTCGTTCAATCACCATCGAAAACGACCTCCTATGCCGATTGCTCTGTCCGTTTCCGGTGCACCTGCTTACGTCCGTCTCGGACCAGCACTCGTAAAACGAGTACTCGACCGGATTCAGCTCCCTACTAACAGAACAAGAGTTACAAGGCGAAACATTGCAGGATTCAAAAGGAGTTGGTGTAGTAATGGTGGTAGCTAATGGGGTGCCATAGAATTCTCGGAACATACCATTTTCGTCCCCGTAAACCGAATCGAAACCGATTGGGAGATTTCGAGGAGATGAAGTGGAAGAAGCTTGCCTTTGTAGAAGAGTTCATCAGCAGGGGAAGTTGTGGACTCTCTCTCTCCATGGTAAGAGAAGACATTTGGAACTCAAATTCTCTTGAGGTTCTGGAATTGCAGAAAATATTGGAAATTGAAGTGATTTCCATGTCAATGTATTCATCGTCATCTTCTTCAGGAACATTCTCAGTGAAGCTCACTGCCATTTTCAATGTTTTTTAGGTAAAAATCTGTGTAAGAATCTTAGTTTTAAAAGAGAAGGAGGTGATTGCACTCTGTACAGTGGTGATGCTGCCGTGCTACACTACAATTTTGAAAAAAAAATAGAAATAAATTAATGGGTAAAGTACGCAAATTGACCCCTGACTATAGGGTACCACTTTATTAAGTCTCTCGGTTATTAAAAGTTATAAAATGATCACTCGTCTATTCATTATGTTTTAAACTCGTCATTTTTTCGTTAAAAATTTATAGTATTTTGAGTTGAACGTCAATATGTTGACTGTGATATGATAAAATTTGATCTCATACTCTCAAACGACTATCATAACACAGTCATCATGTTAACATCCAACTTAGACAATCGTCAATATTTAATGAAAAATATGAGTTTGAAACGTAATGAATAGTCGGATGATCATTTTATAACTTTTAATAGTCGAGGGACTTAATAAAGTAATATTTTATAGTTGGAGGATCATTTTGTAACTTTTAATAGTGAATGGACTTAATAAAGCAATACCATATAATCGATCTAGTTAACGGATCTTATTTTATAATTTAAACTTTATTTAAAAATTTCTTAAGTATTTGAATTTCTGTTTAAATTTAATTATAAATATTTATAATATTATTATATTAATTAATTCCAATTTAAATGGTTTTTCTATAATCATATACTATATACATATATATTCCTTCGTATGTAATATATACATATTTCATGCAGAGTTGAGATACTCGACACGAACTTGAAAATCAATCTACTAATTATTAAAAATTTTAAGTTATTCATATTCTATTTTATAACTAAATTTTATTTTAATTTTTTCTATTCAAGTCGAATTTATGAATCGAATTAAAAAAATTAATTTTTTAGAGTGAAGTTCTACTCACCTCTGCTTATACCTAACACATTCAAATATAAATACCCATTTTTTCTAGAGTATCCATTCCCCTCTACTCTAGATAAAATGACGATTAAATTTAAATTTTAGAGTAAATTACGCATTTAACACTTTAATTATCAGTTTTGATCCATTTTAGTACTTAAACTTTCAACTTTTTCAAAATCATACCTAACGTTTAGTTTTCATTTTATTTTAGTATCCCGCCATTAAAAACTTAACACTTTTAGTACCTAAACTATCAGTTTTGGTCCGTTTTAGTGCCTAAACTTTTAAAAAAAAAATCAAAACTTAACGTTAAATTTTGAATGAGTACTAAAATGAAACAAAAACTAAAGTTTTTAACGACAGATACTAAAATGAAACAAAAACTAAATTTTAGGTGTGGTTTTCAAAAAATTGAAAGTTTAGGTACTAAAATGGACTAAAATTGATAGTTTAGGTACTAAATTCATAATTTAACCTAAAATTTATTTTAAAAAATATTGATATTAAATTGTAAAAGTTTTTTTAGTTGTATCCAAAACATTCTAAATAAAAAAAATTGTACATATTTATATTAAATATATATATATTCGTATTCGACATTTACTCGAATTAAATAACATAACTGAAACATATTAATATTTGTGGGATCTGTAGGGCAAAAGGTTGAAACATGAGGGCAAACCCAAATGTCAAAACCAGGTTTCAAGCATCATCCATCGCCATAAATATCATTACTGGAACAACTTTTGTATGCAATGGCTGCTAAATATTAAAAAGAAAAAGAGAGAGAGAATAAAGTTGAATTTTTATTTCATAAGCTAATAGGGACTAAAAGTCAAATGTTGGGATTTTCGGAAGCTCGAATCGACAACCAGAACGGTTTGCAAAGAGGGATCGAAACGGTTTTTGTGTTTAGGAAGTAAGGAGATTGAAAGATATAGAATTGAACATCGATTTATAGTGGTTCGACTTTCTCAACCAAAGTCTACATCCACTACCTTAGCTCCTCCTCACCAAGGATTTTCCAAGAGAAAGATGAAATAAGAATGAAAAACTCCTCTTGGGGTGAATCGGTTCCCTCTGAGTAATCTGAAATTTTTTGCTTTGAAATGGATCGAAATACTTTGTAAAATTGTTTTGAAATTAGTTTAAGATTAAAACTTAATTTTACACTTGAGTAAGGATTAAAAATGATATTTGAAATATTTGGAGTAATATTTTGATATTCGAATAATTATATTGAATATACTTAAAAAATCTTTTGGAAAATCATAAAATTCATTTAACTTAATTTGTTATATCGAAATATCAAAATGTTTTCAACAATCTCCTCCTTTTTGATATAACAAAACATTTGAGTAATTTTAAGATTTTGAAATCAAGTTTGAAATTACTCCCCCTTACTTTAACACTTCTCCTCTTTAACACCTCTCCTCTTTAACACTTCTCCCTATTTTGTTAAATAAAAAAGACTCTAATCTTTGAAGTTCAAAATACATTTGGAGAGTAAGTAGTAAATTTGACATTTTAAAAATCATTTGAAAAAATCAAAGCTCCCCCTCAATAAATGCATTCCAAATAAAATTATGTTTTTAGGATCTTGACACTTAAACAAAATTGAATTTCAACAAAGAATAACAAACATGTTAGTAGCACATGAAATTCAATACATCTAAGTCTAAAATACTTTATGCAATATCAATTATTGAAATTAAGTGCATATGCATAAAGTTTTCCGAAAATGTTATGCATTTGAAAATTTTGATATCAATTGTTAGAGAGATATCATTTTAATTTAAACTACATGCATAAATATTTAAATTTAGGTCAAAAAAATTTAAAATTTATAAAATCAAAACATTTGAAAAGTTGATATCAATTGTTAGAGAGATATCTTTTGCATTAAAACCAATTTTGACCAAAATTCCTTATGATGAACTAAAAATTTTAAAAAAATCATTAAAACTTTAAAATGTTCATCATAAAACCTTTTTAACATACATGAGATTAAAACAATAATGTATAATTATTTAAAAACAAAAACAAAACTCATGCATGCTTAAAATCAAATGAGCAACCAAATATCTAAAATTAAAAACATTAAGCTTAGAGGTTACCCATTCATATTCATGTGTGGCTAGAGCATCTTGAATATCATCATTTTCATCACCATTGCTCCCACACACCTACAAGAGACATTTAAGTAAATTTTGGTATCCAAATTGCTTTGGGTCCTTGAATGTTAGTTTCAATGCCCCTTATTCCTTTCGTAACCCATACTTACCTAATTTTAAAACGTTTTCCTTTCTTCAAAGGACAAGTATGTTCCTTATGACCATGATAATGACAATGTGAGCATATTGTCATTATTGAACTAAATGAATTATTTAAAATAATTCCTTTTTCTTTTGTTAAGCATTTAAGCTTAACTTTTAAATCAAAATTTTCTTTTTCAAAACTTTCAATTTTTATTTTTGAAAGCTCTAAATTCTTTTTCAAAATTTTATTTTGGCTGTAACACCCCCAACCCGTACCCGACCCGGATATGAGTTAGAGATACTACATTGACTTTAAAACACAACTCTTAACCAATAATAGCAAAATATTTGAACTTATATTAAGAAAATACGATAATATACATATTGTAATATAAGTTTACCAAAATATTCAGAGCATACACAACTTAACCCTTTAATTACATGCCAACTGCCATTTACATAACAAAATGACCTACTGATTAAGTTGCTTCTGATATGGTGGTTGCAAGAGTAATGCTGTCAAGCTGCTTCACCTGTCTCGTCTACTTTCTCGGATCCTACGTGTGAAACACTCACACGCTAGGTCATCGACTTAGTGAGGCAATGTAATAATAATAACAAGGCAATGTAATGAAAAACGTCATGATCATATGAAATGAGATGCAAACATGTACTTAATCAATGTAGTCTACATCATCAATATCCATACCTGTAAGCGTATGACTTTAACATTCATGAATTTGTATTAATAAGTTTATTGGCCCATGATATCATATTGAGAACCTAAGGTATCTGAGTAATGTGAGGTTGTGCACTATGCTGTCACCACAGCTCGTATAAATGCACCGAAGTGCCGCGTAGAATTGCACCGTAGTGCCATATAATAATGTCCATAAGGACCACATAGAATTCCTTAAGAATCATATACATATGCTAGGGATCACATATGTGTCTCTCCAGACTTCACACATGTTCCAAAGAATATATATATATCCCGAAGGACCGCGTAGAATATTGTCCCGAAGGACCGTATAGAATATTGTCCCGAAGGACCGCGTAGACCCTCTACCCTTGGCATGCCAACTATACCTATAGTTCTCATCTACATAACATGGGCTTTTACATTTCACGTAGTCTATATCGCGTAGACATGTAAATTCTTACCTTTTCACATAGCTCATAACTTTTCCCGCATATTCATGTCATATAATGCATTTTATATGAATTCATGTCATGTCTCATAATACAGAATATGCTCATGTACCAAGATATAAAATCTAGACTTATCACAAGTCTAGAATTGAGTATATTTCTATAATTATGCTATGCATATGCACTCACCTATATTTCTTTGCCTTTTCCTCGATCGATCCTACTTGTAGATTGTTCCCGAACTCGTGTAGGCTCAGTATCTACATAATAATTCAATGATACTTATCAGTATACTAATTAATATATTCTAAACTATCATTCCTTAGACTCATAGAAAAGCCAATTTCATCCTTTAATGAAGGTATGCATCGATTCACTACTAATGCATCGGTGCATAAAATGCATTCGATGTTGTATTATTACTGGGATGCATCGATGCATGACTTATGCATCGATGCACTAATTGCATTCGATGTTTCTATTTTAAAAGAGTGCATCGATGCATTACCAATGCATCGATACACCTTCAAATAATTTATGGGTTTTAAACTTTATGCATCGATGCACTATGAATATGCATCGATGCACTCTGCCCAGAATCCTCTTTTATGCCCGAAAATCCACTCTTTTCAGCTTAATACTTCATATATCATCCCCTTTCTTATTACCTAACTTGCATAC